TTGTTTACTTAATTTAATAAATTATATTATAATATAATTTAAAATGTAATAATATTTAAATATATTTAAATATTATTACATTTTTACACAATTTTGATAACCATCAAGGCCGAAAGTTGGAAAGACACTGATCGAACTTGATGGTAACCGTGGGCCCCTTTGCATTATTTTTCATTGATTACAATGCAAAATGCTGGGCCCCCGATATTAATTATTATTTTTAGTTGTGTGGTAACAAATCATGGAAGATTAAGCGAGAAAGCAATATGTACATATTTGCAGCCGCATTTGAGGTACTCAACAATGCTCGTTATTCATTTCGGTTTTCGTTGCAATTTTGAGTATTACATATATATATTGTATATTTATAATTTGACAGATTATAATTCGTACATATATACAATACAACTCAGATTTTATTTTTCTACAGCATCATAACTTTACACTGGAATACATACACTGCAAATAAACTGGTGTCAATTCCGCGCGGTGTAGTCACATATAGACACCACGCGGTGTTAATACGGGCAATTAACACCGCGTGGTGTCTATATGTGACTACACCGAGCGGAATTGACACCAGTTTATTTGCAGTGTACATACATCCATGAAAATGTACACAACACAAAAAAATTGTAACTCAATGAAACCTGAAACATCAGAACATCAGAACACCATGTTTTGTAGGTATAATCAACTGCATTGCGTCATCTGTGAAAAGTTTTCCCTCAAGGTGAATATTGCAGCAGCGATTGTCATGAGGGATATATATTTCCTTCTCTGTCCATGCTTGATGAATGGCGCACTTTGGAATCCTTTTTCTGCCGTTGGGGTCATGACAAATAAAGCACCGCTTCTGCGTGGATCCAACGGAGCTGATCATTGGTAAGCGCCGTGATTTACTTGATTGAGTGCTGGACATCGATACTTGGGAGTTGAATGGGTCGCAGGAAAGAGACGAAACGATTGACGCTTGAGAGTGACTTCGGGCGGTCATCGTCACTGTTGTGCCTTGAGTGCTCCATTCTGACTGGATCTCACTTCTGCCACTTATTGAAATAGCCATGGAGTTTTCATGACGGGATGTAGTATCAAATCCACCTGGTAGTTAAATATACTATCATAGTATTGTAGCATTATGATTATAGTATTTAATCTGCTATACTCACTATTAAAATGGACTTCGTCAAGCTCCATGTCCAATAATCCATACTCGAAGCGGTCAATCTCTTGCTGAGCATCGTCATCTTTACCCTCATGAGCATGGTCGTCGTCAGCCCAACAAAAATAGTCGTCGTCACCTCCACGAGCATAATTTTCCTCACGACCACCGTCTCCATCATCGCCACGACCACTATCTTCCTCAGCGCCACCAGCACCGTCTTCATCACCACTACGATGATCTTCCTCCTCAGCGCCATGAGCATCGTCTTCGCCACCGCCACGACGATCTTCCTCCTCAGCGCCATGAGCATCGTCTTCGCCACCGCCACGACGATCTTCCTCCTCAGCGCCACTACGATCTTCCTCCTCAGCGCCACGACAATCTTTCTCCTCAGCGCCACGACGATCTTCCTCCTCAGCGCCACGAGCATCATTGTCTTCTCTTCTCATATTTAATCTTGTTCGGCTCGGTAGAATGACACCCTCTCCCCTTACTTTAGGTTTTAACCTCCGGAATTGTTTCGTCCCTTCATCCTTCAATTGAGAGCGAATCTGCAGAATAAGTAGCAATTAAATACATATTACTAGACTAAATTAAATATTTTTCGTACCTTGATGTGGCATGCTTCGCATATGACCTCGGTTTTGTGTGCTTCCTCCTCATCATGGTACAGTCGACAATACAAGGGCCAGAGTGCAGACGCTCCCAGTCGATGCCGTTTCTGGTTCGACTTAATCCGTCTGTGACAGTCGTCCAAAAAACAAATAGTGTACGGCATGATTGATAAAAGCAGCTGGATTTATTATCAAGCTCGATCGGGTTATTTTTTGGTATTTTCAAATAATAATAATGCAGCAATATGAAAATATGACTCCATTTAGTTACCTCTAACAACGGTGCACAGCGCAATAAATTAAAATGCATGAGATAAGTATGGCAAAAGTGGTGGTGGTTTACCCTAAAATAAGTGATGACTGCAAAATGTCCCATTTTTTGTTTAAAGTTAAATTCAGTCTTCAGAATATGTAGAAAATTTTAAAACACATTTCAGAAATGGGACATTTTGCAAATATCATTTATTTTGGCTGTAAAGTTGCTCATGAAATTCGATCAGTGTCTTTTTGATGGTCATTTATATTTTAAAAAATACGACAGATCGCTGAGGTTTTGGAACAGAAACGTGTAATTAAGTTTGTTTTTTGGAACAATTTCATATTTTTCGAAAAAAATACATAATTTTCCAAGCCACTTCTCTCATTCACTTACACATTTCATGATTTAAAATCTATAAAATTTTTATTTATTGCAAATTAATACTGACTTTTTTTAATTGGTCAATTTTTTCTTACAATTTTGGATCTACGGATTTCTCACCTTTTTCATATCCAATCCGTTTCAACGCTTACATATTGTTCTAAATTGTAATGGTGAATCATTATCAATTAAAAATTTACAACCTAATTTAGTAAGTTACAGTCGAATGGGCTATAAGGTAGCAACCCAAAAAGTCCTGTTTTGATGGAAAAACGCCAGCGTGCACGCTCGCTACCTGCTCGATTCATGTACATAACTCCGTGCAAAAGAAGGTGAGCGCGCGTGCACGCTGATCAAAACAGGACTTTTTGGGTTGCTACCTTATAACCCATTCGACTGTACTCAATAATTATGGAAAAATATATTGCTGTTTTTATACCATTTCGATAAATATGAAAGTTGAAAGTTAAATATTTTGGGTGTTCATTAACCTATCAAAATACATCAGATCAACGGTTGCATGTCTTGGGTTTAACGGATTTCATATTTTTTTACCAAAATTTCAAAAATTTTCCCAGCCACTCCTCCCACACATCTGCACATTTCAGAAATTTAAATCTATGAAATTACCCGGATGTCGACTGAATCCGATTTTTATTTATTTTATTGCTGAATTGTTTCGTAAAATTTTAAATCTACGGATTACTCAGAATTTTCATGTTCCAGTTTTTTAATACATGAATTGTCCTAAATTGTATTGGGAACTATTTATGAATTAAATATTAATAACGAAGGAACGATTGCTTACGTAATTTAGAGATACTGGGCCCACTATATTGCTCTTGTAAAACGGATCGTTTATATGAAAAATTAGCTATTATTTCTTTCCAAAATTTCTGAATTATTCCAGGCATACACATTTCAGAATTTGACATGTATGTATAAAATTATTATCCATTGTCAAGTAATTCTTAACAAATTAATAATAAAAATTCCAAAAGTACATACAATTATTCAGGGTTTAATTAAGTTAAATGTGGAAGAATGAAGTACAGGATGACTTCCAGATTATCGTCCGTTATCCGTCCAGATTATCGTTACATAGTTATATTGCTTATTTGTGTCATAGAATTTAAACCAGTTTTTGTAAACTGATTTCTATTAACACTTGAATAAAGGTTTAAATCAATTAAATCAAGTCCGTTATTATCAAACATGGAAAAAACAACGTAATTTAATAGTTATTAGATAATTTGGAAAAAATATTGCTTTTTTACACCATTTTGACAAATGTCAGTGGCGAAAGTTAAAAATTTTGAGGTTGAATTTATTTTATAAAAATACAACAGACCAGGTGGCATTTTGTTATCAAAAGGATCGTTCTAATGAAAAATTAGCCGAGATTTCATAATTTTATCAGGCACACACATTTCAGAAATTGAAATTTAATCATCGTTAACAATTGCGAGATAACGAGTGTTCCCATAATTTACTAACAATGGAGGTCTCCCAACGTATGCTCAAAGATTTGGACGAAATTAGTGTCAATCGATTACAAATATAATTAGTATGAAATTTGCAAATGGAACTATCTGCCAATGCGGAGGTTTGGCGGAGATATTTGCATAAAAAGAGGAAAAAACGCACCAAAAGGCTGGCATATTTTTCATTTTTCATTTTCCAAATTTCCTGCGCATTTTTTCTGCTTTGAATGCAAATATCTCCGCCAAACCTGCGCATTGGCAGATAGTTCCATTTGCAAATTTCATACTAATTATATTTGTGATCGATTGACGCTAGTTTGGTCCAAATCTGTGAGCATACGTTGGGAGACCTCCATTGTATGTTATTAAATAATTACGAAAAAATATGGCTGTTTTGTTAAAAATATTTTTCGATAAATTACAAGGCTGAAAGTTAAAAATTTTGTACCAATAAAAATACAACAGATGAAATTTGCTGTTCGAAGGTTTGTTTAAATAAAAAGTATGGCATCGTTTGTTTCCAAAATTTCATAATTTTCCAAATCACACACATTTCAAGAATAAAATTATTATCCGTTGTCAAACAATTCTGAACAAATGAATTTTTAAAAAATTCAAGTCGCAAACCAAATAATTTAAATATATAAATATGATTATCCAAGGTTTAATTAATTTAAATTAACTGTTCAAAAGTTAAGTACACGTGATTACTTACAGATCATCATCCATCGTTATACATAAAATCATGGACAAAAGAATGTAATTCAATAGTTGTTTAATAAATGAGAAAAGAATTATTGTTATTTTACAACAGTTTGATAAATTCCAAAGCCCAAAGTTAAAAATTTGGGGTGTTCACTATGATATGAAAAATAATAGATAGGATAAATTTTGGCTTAAAAAATAAAAATTATTCTTCATCTTCCTTCACTTCTTACATCACTGTGTAGTGGTCGAGATCATGTAGTGAGTGAGACGCGCATGCCTATGTTCAAAGTAGAAAAAAGAGGGTTTGGTGAGCTCCTGCTGGGCGCCGAGAGAACCATTGTCTTTTTCATAGCAGTGCAGTGTGGACGTGTGAGCCTGATCTCCCGATTTTTCGTTCTTCAACGGATTTTTTCTCGCCGGATTTTCGAGTGGGTGTTTCCCGTCTTTCCCTCCTGAATCAACAAGGTAAGGTAACCATTTTTTACGAGGGTGGGCAGTTTTTCCACGTAAGAAGGATGTTTTTGCCACAAGAAAAATAACAGTAAAATAAAATCTCTGAGCAACCTTGAATAGGTACGGGAATTGGTGCCTATACGGCCCAAATAAAATCCCGAGGTGTTCCTATACGGCCCTCACCTAGATTCTAATTAGAATTATTATGTCGCAGAATTATGACAACCCCAAGAGCATCCTGGGATCTTAATTTATCAGATGAATCTGATAATGAAGTTGAGAATACGGCAAATGTGAATTCTGAGGCGAATGCTTTTGCAAATTTGTTCAATGGATCAGGCGAGAAGGGTAAATTTTTGTGCTCACTAATCCTATCAATTGATATTCATTTGACCTGTTTATATTTACGAGCAAATGATTGTTATTAGGAATTGATAATGTGGCCCCTTTGGATAGTGAAATTCAAGATTTGTTAAGGGATGTGGAGAAATCAATTGAATTTGGGCCGGAGATAATGGCTGAAGTTGCTGAGGGCTTTAATAAAACAATGTGTCGTCCACTATCAAAAGAGACCTCAGACAATTTGAAAAATAATTTCAAGATCCCAATCAATTGTAAACCGTTTGTTATTCCAAAAATGAATCAAGAGATTTGGTCACACCTCCCAGGGCCGGCTCGTTTTATCGATTTAAATATGCAACAAAATCAATTCTCCCTTGGAATTGGACTCAATGCTTTGGCACAAATTGCAAATGAAGTTGCGAAAAATGCAAGCAATATACCAAAAGAGGTGAAGATTTCCATTCTTAAACTTGCAATTGACGGGGGAAATATTTTGGGTGACCAAATCCAATCAATTTCCAAAAAGAGACGACTTGAAGTAAAAAAGCACATTAACTCTGAATACCACGGGATATGTAACTCGCAGGTATTTTTTATAGTAATAATTTTTTGTAAACAAAAAATTTGAGGGTGTGCTAAATGCAAAATTTTTGTGTAAAAGATTCCAGTCTCAGAATTTCTCTTCGGTTCCGATCTGAACGAAACCTTAAAAGCTTCCAAAACTGCATCCAATGTTATTCGCAAGTCCTTTACTCGTCAAGGACAGAACCAACGTCCCCAACCTTATTTTAATCCTCGCAGTTCTTTAAACTTGAATCGCCCAAGGCTCTTCACTCCCCAGAGGCAGCAGTTCGGGCAGCAACAGAGGGGAGGAATGTTTCCACGTCGACGTTGGCAAACAAACAACTTTCTTCAACAATCAACTCCACATTATCAAAACCAGAGGAAGTAGCAAGTCATCAAGCTAATAAAAATCAGGCAGGTCAACTAAAATATTTTGTTAATGAGTGGCAAAAAATTACTAAGGATAGGTTTGTGTTAAGAACCATTCAGGGATATAAAATTCCATTCGAATCTGAGCCACAACAATTATCTGAGCCTAATAATCCACAGATGAGTGAAACAGAGTCCAAATTTATTAATGATGCGATTTCGGAATTAGTTATAAGTAGCGCAATCAAAATTTCTGAAGAAGAAGCTGGACAATTTATTTCACCAGTCTTCACAGTTGCCAAATCAGACGGGGGCCGTCGATTTGTTTTAAACTTAAAGAAACTTAATACTTTTATTTTTGCACCGCACTTTAAATTAGAAGATATTAGAATGGCAAAACAGTTAGTTAGTCCAGGGTGCTACATGACGGTGATTGATCAGAAAGATGCTTACTATATGATCCCAATAGCTCTCGAATCTCAAAAGTATTTAAAGTTTCGATGGAATGGCGTCCTGTACGCATACACTTGTCTTTGTTTTGGTTTGAATTTGGCCCCCTGGTTATTCACAAAAATTATGAAGCCAGTTCTAGCTTATTTACGATCAAGGGGATTTCAAAACGTGAGCTATTTAGACGATTTATTAACAATAGGAAGAACTTTAGAAGCTTGTCTTGTCAACCTTCAGTTCACAATTAAATTATTTGAAGAGCTAGGAATCAGAATAAATTTTAAAAAGTCTCAATTAATTCCTTCTCGTGAAGTTAAATTTTTAGGATTTGTAATTTGTTCAATTGATATGAACTTAACCCTTCCGATATCAAAGAAAAACAACCTTGTACAAAAAATAATTAAGTATTTGTCTTCCAATTGTAACACAATTCATAAGTTAGCTGAAATAATTGGTATTTTGATTTCTGTCTGTCCAGCTGTGAAGTATGGTCAACTTTACACACGACAATTAGAGATTGAAAAAACTTTAGCACTGGAAAATTCAAATAATTCATTTTTGGCAAAAATGATGCTGTCTAACGAAGCTATTAAAGACCTAAATTGGTGGTTATCACACGTACAGTCAGCTAAAAAGGGGTTAAGGAAAGATTCGTTTGACTTGAGGATAACAACTGATGCATCACTCACAGGGTGGGGTGCAGAATGTAATGGTCAAACGACGAGAGGTTTTTGGTCAATATTAGAAAACAGGTACGATATCAATGAGTTAGAAATGATTGCACTATTTAATGGATTGAAATGTTTTTCTGGTGCCAATAAGGAAATTTTGTGCCGTACCGATAACACTACCACCATTTCATACATAAATAAGTATGGTGGATGCAAATCTATAAAACTTCACGCGATTGCCAAGTCAATTTGGCAGTGGTGCGAAGAAAGACAAATAACAATTTTTGCATCGTATATTAGCACAAAAGATAATTTTGTAGCCGACGCTTTATCTAGAGAAAGCGTTGACGAATTTGACTTCATGCTTAACAGTAGTAATTTCAACTTAATTAAAAACAAACTTGGTGATCCGAATATTGATTTGTTTGCGTCCAATTTAACTCGACAGTGTGACTGCTTCGTATCATGGAAGCCTTCTCCAGGTTGCGAATGGGTCGATGCATTTACACAACCTTGGACAACATATTTTTACGCATTTCCTCCTTTTTCTCTTATTCCTCGAGTTTTAAATAAAATAAGAATAGAAAAGTGTGAAGGAATTGTCGTGGCTCCTTATTGGCCTACTCAGGCCTGGTTCCCACTATTCAATGATATGAGTATATCTCAAGTAATAATAATTCCAAAGAATAAAAATGAATTATTTTCTCCTTATTTGAATAGGGCACATCCCTTGAGTTACCAAGTGACATTGATGTCAGCTATATTATCAGGACAGCATTGAATAAATTAGAACTTCCAGATCAAGTTATAAATATTATTAGAAAATCATTATCACTAAGTACGTGGAAGCAGTACGAATCGTCACTTAAAAAATATGTAAAATTTTGTACTGAAAAGGGTTACGATGTTTGGATAATCGATATCTCCCAATATTTAAATTTTTTATCATCTTTGGTTGAATCTGGTCTAAGTTACAATTCTATAAATACTGCTAGATCAGCATTGTCTACAGTTTTTGGAATGAATAGCGATATAAATATAGGAGAAAATAAATTAATATGTAAGTTTATGAAGGGGGTGTACAAATCCAAGCCCCCACTGTGTAAATATAATGTGACCTGGGATCCTTCTTCTATTTTAGAATTAATTTCCCAATGGGATAATAGTACTATAAATTTAGAACGGTTAAGTTTAAAACTTGTTGCTATTTTAGCCTTAACGACAGCACAAAGAGTTCAGACCTTAAAGTCCTTAAAGATTAGTAACATAATTTGGTCCAATCCTGTTCAGATAAAATTGACGGACGTACTCAAAACGACCACGATCCGTAATCAGAACCCATTAATAATTTTACCTCCCTACCATGATGTTAGACTTTGTCCCGTAGCTTGTCTTAAGATATACATAGATAAAACTAAAGAAATTAGGTTACAAAATTGTGATCAATTGTTAATTTCGTTTGTAAAGCCTCATGGTCAGGTAACTTCACAGACAATTAGTCGCTGGCTTTGTACTGTACTTAAATTAGCTGGTATTGATGTTAAAGAGTTTAGTGCACATAGTTATCGACATGCAGCGTCATCAACGGCTGCAAATAGGGGTGTAAATGTAGACGTAATTATGAAAAGTGTTGGCTGGTCTGCGACCTCAAAAACTTTTGCAACTTTTTATCACAAGCCAATTGTTACGAATAATATGTTAGCTGATGCCGTACTGGGTTGTAATTCATAAATATGATTTATAATAAATTTGTGCTGTTTGTAAGATAATCATATAATATTCTACCCGGTCTCTTCCTTATCAACATATGTACTTTAAACAACTACACAGTGATGTAAGAAGTGAAGGAAGATGAAGAATAATTGTGGATTTTGCGAGCGCTGCGTAGCAGCGTGAAGCAAAATCAAGATTATTAGAATCTTCCGGAACGGAAGACATCACTGCCCACCTGCCCACCCCCTTTTCTTTTTATACATATGTTGATTCGCATACTTTCAAAACAATGGTTCTCTCGGCGCCCAGCAGGAGCTCACCAAACCCTCTTTTTCTACTTTGAACATAGGCATGCGCGTCTCACTCACTACATGATCTCGACCACTACACAGTGATGTCTTCCGTTCCGGAAGATTCTAATAATCTTGATTTTGCTTCACGCTGCTACGCAGCGCTCGCAAAATCCACAATTCGCTGTCATTTCTTGCCAAAATTTCTTAATTTTCTTATGCACACAAATTTTAGGAATTAAAATCTATAAAATTTTTATGTTGCGAATTACAAATAATTGTTACCAAATTAATTTAAAACATTCGAGTCCTAACCCGAATATTATTCGGCGAATAGTCTAAACATATAAATAAAATTATTCAAGGTTTGATTAAATTAAATTAACTGTTCAAAAGTTAAGTACACGTGATTACTTACAGATCATCATCCATCGTTATAAAATCATGAATAAAACAATGTAATTCAGTAAATTCAATAATTGAGAAAATAATTATTCCTATTTTACACAATTTTGATAAATACCAAATCCCAAAGTTAAAAATTTTGGGTGTTCACTACAATATGAAAAATAACAGATTAGTCTTCTTTTTCGCCATAAACAGGATCGCTTAAATGAAAAATTAGCCATCACTTCCTACCAAAATTTCTTACTTTTCTTATGCACAAAAATTTTAGGAATTTAAATCCTTAAAATTATTATCTGTTGTGAATTACAAATAATTGTTACCAAATTAATTTAAGAAATTGGAGTCTTAACCCGAATAATCTAAACAGAAATAAAATTATTCAAGGTTTGATTAAATTAAATTAACTGTTCAAAAGTTAAGTACACGTGATTACTTACAGATCATCATCCATCGTTATAAAACCAAGTACAAAACAATGTAATTCAATAGTTATTCAATAATTGAGAAATTTTACATTTTGATAAATACCAAAGCCCAAAGTGAAAAATTTTGGGTGTTCACTACAATATGAAAAATAACAGATTTTATTTATTTTGGCATAAAACAGATAAATGGAAAGTTAGCCATTATTTATTCCCAAAATTTCATAATTATCCCAGGCATGCAAATTTCAGAATTTGAAGTCTATAAAATAAATTAATATCGATGGTCAAGTAATTCTTAACAAATTAATAATAAAAAATTCAATAGCTCAACTAAATAATCAAAATGTACGTAAAATTAACCAAGTTTTACCAAATTTAGATTTTATCAAATGTTCAAAAGTTAAGCATATGGTTGCTTATAGATCATCATCCGTCATTATAAAACCATGTACAAAACAAGGTAATTTAATAATAATTAAATAATTTGGGTTGAAATATATTAATATTTTTACACAATTTTGATAAATACCAAAGCCTAAAGTTAAAATTTTGAGTGTTCACTAACGCGCTGAAAGCAATAGATACGTTTCCTTCTTTTGTCTTAAACGGATGAAAAATTAGCCATCATTTTTTGCCAAAATTTCATAATTTTCTTATACATAGAAATTTTAGGAATTAAAATCTATGAAGTTAATTGTTAGCAAATTAATTTACGAAATTCGAGTCATAACCCGAATAATATAATTATCATACCTGTTCATTTCCATTCATTTGACTAATAATGATGGAGATGGAGAATGATAGTGAATGAAAATGAATTTCCAGTGTTTTGGATGAAAATGATTGAAAGATTCTGTCATTTCAGATGAATGATTGTGAATGAAAAGATTTCTCATTCATTTCATTTTTCACCCTATGCTTAGTACATGGGGCGAAGTAAGAAATGAAGTCAGATGAAGTGAAATGAAATGAGTTTGAAAGAAAATGAGTGAGTGTGAATGAAAGTCTTCAGTCAGAAATCGAGATGACTGAACTTTGAATGAAAAAAGTTTTTTTGAACAGGTATGATTATTATAAATATAATTATTCAAGGTTTAATTAAATTAACTGTTCAAAAGTTACACACACAGGATTACTTTCAGATCATCTGTCTTTATCAAATCATGGACATGAAAACAATGCTCTCTTTGTTTCCAGAATATGAAACGTCACATAAAAAAATGAGATTAATCACTTATCATAATCCAAAATGAGACTTGAAGACGTATTTAATTCACACCTCTTTGTTTTCTCTCACCACTTATCATACATACGTTATGATAAGTGGATTAAATTATGATTCATAATCCACTCTCCGGATTTACACACTTCATTCATTCATTCATTGAATTAACCCAGTTAATTTAACTACTTATCTACCTATGTAACTTATAAGATAAGACGAAATCCCGGCTCATTTACGTACATGCAATTCATCATCTTATCCTTCTCACTTTGATAAGCCATTCCATATAAATATTTATGCACTTATCTGTGAATGATTAATTAACTAAAATACGGCATAGTTTTTCGTGATTTTGTTTCAAGATAAGTGCATAAAATTAAGTGAATTTTGATCACAAATTTGGTTAATTCAACCACAAAGAAAAAAGAGACGAGTTGAAATTCAATCCCAAGTTTTCTGTTACACAGACAAAAAAAAATCTCTAATCACACAATTCGCATTCCTTCCTTCTTCTCGAGTTCCGGTCGTATTTCAGCAGCCAGAAAACGATTAATTCATTCATGAACAATGAGCCATTTATTCAGTGAAATCCATTAAAGTATTTTTACACCGATTGTATTGAAACACTCTTAATTTCATTTCATGAACACATTCTTAACATTAGATTGACCGCATGTGACTGAACATACTTTTCCATGCGGCTGGGCTGAGTCACCCTTGTTTTTCGCACAAATTTAATTCAGTGAACTCGTTCATGATAAAGAAACGTTATTTTTCTGAACATTCGTCCAACAGCAGGCAGACCAGGACTTCCCTTTGACGTATGTGAAAGGAGACACAATTTGCGAAAAGATTGACCATTTCCCCTCCCTCAAGACCAAACCACAACTATTTTTATTTACATGAAGTGTGACTCGCCTAAATTTTGTGTGTATGTACATAAGTGGTATTTAAGCAACTGCGTCACTTGTAGGTTGAGTAGTGGCACGGAGAAGACTGGACAGTGTAATTTTATTTTCGAAGAAAATCTTTGCAAAATATCCTTTAAAAAAATCCTTATACGAGTGATGATTAAAAAGACATTAGAATTTCATTGAAAAAAATTGACATAAATGTAATCGTTGCAAAAAATACTTGCAAAAAATTTATAAGTCATTAGATTGCTATTTTAACAAATTGCAAAAAAATCGTTATAAAAAGTACTTGTACTTGAAAACTAGAAAGACTTTATAATTGTATTCAAGAAAAATTGCAAAAGATAATCGTTGCAAAAATATTATCATTCGGCAGACACAGTTATTTTATTGACACAAATTGCAAAAACAAATCCCTGGAAAAATATATAGATAGTACTTTATTGTAGAAAAGTTTCCAAAAAAATCTCCCTGCAAAAAAAAAATAACCCTGCAAAAATTTAAACGCTTCAACTTACCCCAAAATTTGGAAACGATGGGGTCCCCAGCCCCGTATTCGTACCACCCCCGACAACCTGTCCAACAACAAAACGACCAAGAATTGGATGACCATTTTCTGAGCCCTCGGGAAAATTTGCCTTCCTGGACGAACCAATTTTTCGCGGATTCTGACGACTTTTCGTCCTCAGAAAGAAGTTGGATGGCGCTCGATGAGACGAGCACGATTGACCCCATGACCCCATCGGAAATTTGGGAGTGGTCCTGGGACAGGACGGTGAAAACCATTGTGCTCTCTCCCATCGTCATTTTCACCATTGTTGGCAACTTTCTAGTCTTGTATGCATTTGTGACCAGGAAACGGGTACGTATGTAGATACATACTTATTTACATACAGATGAAATTCACGTCAAATCACGCAAACACTTTGGAAACTTACAAATCTTTGATGAAAATTACTAAGGATTTTTGCTTTCGAATTTACAATTACAAAACCGTACGAAGATAAAAGGCGCATTTTTCCTTCGTAAATTTACAAGTTACGAAGGTTGACGTGAATTGCCTCAAAATTCGACAATTTTGGGACAAACATTATTAAATTGTCTCAAAATGTGGAATTTGAGACGATTATTTTAAATCGTTTCAAAACTCAAGCTTTTTGAGACAAGCGTTTTTAAATCGTCTCAAAATTCAACATTTTGGGACAATTTCTAATCATCTCAAAATTCCAGTTTTTGAGATAAAAAGTTAAGAAAAACGTCAAAAAATTCCACAGTTCTAGATAACTGGGTTTATTTATATGTATAAAAAAGGCTAAAAATTTCTGGTTTTGAGAGAAAAAATATTTAAAAATGTGCGAAAAAATATCCCCTTTTTTACAGGAACTTCGCGCTCCCACGCACTTTTTTATCGCGAATCTGTCCCTGGCTGATTTCCTGGTGGGAATAATGGCGATGCCGTTTCTGGCCACGGTCCACGTGACGGACCGCTGGTATTTCGGATCAGGATTTTGCTACGCCTGGGTCATCATCCATTTCTGGTTGTGCTCGGCGTCAATCCTCTCCACGTTGGCGGTCTGTGTCGAACGATACGTCGGGGTCAAGTATCCGTTACGTCATGTCGAAATTATGAGCGTACCAAGGTCAGTCGAGCGGCAAATTAAAGATATACACATTTTTAAAAAATGTGATCAAAATGACAAATTTTGAGGCAAAAAATAAGTTCCCAAAATGGAAACTTTTGAGACAAAAATACAAAAAATACAAAAAATGCGCTCAAAATGACATAGTTTGAGCACAAAACCATAAAATGTGCACAAAATGACAAGTTTTAGAACTAAAAATATTTAACAATGTGCTCAAAAATTTTGAGCAACGTGTAATTTAAATTTGTAATTAGAAATTACAAATTTTGCGTCAAAATGACACGTTTTGAAAAAACATAAAAATCTGCTTAAAATAACACGTTTTGAGACAAAAACCTACAGTGCAGACTCCACATAGCCCGAGTCAGGGACAGAGTCCCTGACTCCTCCAGGGTCACTCTGGTTAAAATTTGCTCACTTTTAGCTTCATATCCTTTCGTGAGAAGCCATTAGGTATCACCGTGCCGGATTTAATGTTTTAAAGTAATTTCTAAAAATCGGTATGGGTCACCCCACAGGGTCGCTCCAGATAAGAATTTTACCAATTGCATGTCATATTCTTCTATTAAGACCCATTAGCAATCTATCTACCAAATTTCAGCTTGGTATGACGATTTTGAAAAATCGGTATGGGTAACCCCGTAGTCCCTCAAGATGAAAATTTTTCCAACTTGAAGTCATTTTTATCTATTAGGAGCCATTAGCAACCTCTGTACCAGATTTTAGCTTTCTACGACAACTTTGAAATTTTGGTGCACGAGACCCCACCCACTCCGATGACCCCCACCGGTCAACCACTTGACCGATTTTGCCCATCTTCGAACTCGTTTCCTAACTTTGTCCAATATGCATATGGTAAAAATTTCAAGTCAATCGGTTCAGCCGTTTTGGCTCTATCGTGCCGGACAGACGGACGGACGGACATGACGGTTCCATAAGCCCTGACTCGGGCTAAAAATGTGGTCAAAATGACCGGTTTTGAGATTTAAAATATTTTTTTAATGTGCTCAAAATGTGTCACATGTCATTTTGAAAAACAAATTTTGCAAAAATTGTCACAGTAAATCGAGCTGAATATTGGGAAATTTTTCCATTTTTGGCCCACAAATTTAATTTTTACCTCAATTTTTTAGGGTGATTGCCATAATGGTAGGTGTCTGGTCGACGGCGGGTTTCCTGACGCTGCTGTCCGTCCTGGCCTTTCCGGAACCACGTGACGACTCGGTTGGGAAATTCGGGTGCAAAATAAACAATCAAATCGGTCACGTGTTAATCGCCACGATTGGAATTCTCTACATCCCAGCGGGATTCATGATATTTCTTTATTGGAGGATTTACGTCATTGCGTCGACACATTTAAAATCGATGAAAAATCGGGTCGGTGATGTGACAAAAGTGGACCAGTTAGTACATACACATAAATCTTTTTCGTATAAAATTACCCTAATTTTTTTTTAAAATGGCTTTAAAAGTTTTCTAAAATTTTGTCCAGTGTTAAATTTCTCCAAAATTTCACTAAAATTTCTCCAAATTTTCTCCAATCTTGAAAATTTTCCAACAAAATTTCGCTATTTTATAATTTCTCTAAACAGTCTTAAATTTCTCTTAAATTTCTCTAAATTTCGTCTAACTCCAAAATTTTCCTACTCTAAAATTTCTGTAAACTTAAATTTCCCTAAAATGTCTCTACTCTTAAATCTCCCTAAATTTTTTTACGTAAAATTTCTTCTACTCTTAATTTCTTCTAAAATGTGTGTAAAATTTGTTCATAACTTCTCTAAAAAGTTACTTTATTCAAAATTTCACCAAAATGTCTTTAATCTGAAATTTCTCTAAAATTTACCGACTTCAAAATTTCTCCGTAATTTCTCTACTCAAAAATTTGTCTAAAAATTCTCTAAAATTTCTTTACTCATAAATTTCTTAAAAATTTCTCCCCAATTTTTCCCAGACCACGAGCTCCCCGACCCCGCTCCAAAACGAAGACGTGGTCAAAACTCAACTTTTTCCGTTTGTCCGGCCCAGCCTCCACGTCGACGTCCGCCCCGCCGGAAAATTCCTACTCCACTTCCGACATTGAAAGAAACGTGGAAAATTCCACCAGCGAGTCCGGTTTCAGTTCGTACATTCCGGACGAATCGTCGACAACCGTTTTACCCACCAATAACAAACCAGTGTCCAACACAACCTTAAAACAATCAACGCTCCCGCCATCGTCTCCATCAACTAAACAGATCAATTTAGCGCGACGTTTAGCCTTCCTGGTCGGAATCTTGTTGCTGTCCTACATCCCATTTTTTTCCGCCTTCCTGATCCGTGCTTTTAACGTGGAAGCCATTCCAAACCCACTTTTTACCGTGTTGGGATGGATCCGATATGCAAATTCGGCCATAAATCCGATAATTTATGCCTTTGCGGTACCCGCATATAGAAAAGCGTTCGAAAATATATTGCATTTGGGGTGGAGAAAGCAGTAGCTAAATTTTGTGTATGTCTAAATTAATTATGATTAATGAAACAGGATTTTCTGTATTTTTAATTAATTAACTAATTAATTATGGTTAATAAAACAAGATAATTATCCAAATTTTGTCTTTAAATCGGTCATTTTGTGGTTCGCGCATATTGCAAAACGTTCGAAACCATACTTCACGTGAGGGGAGAAAGCAGTAGCTGAACTAGATTAACATTCAAGTAATTATTACAGTTAAAACGCCAAATAAGATAAATTTTGAAGATAAATAGCTGAATGTGTTAAAAGGTTATTTTTCTTCTATTTTAGATATTTATAATCAAAAAAAATTTTGTTTAGAAAATAATTAAAAATCTGTACAAGAATATTTAAAACTTAAAGAAATTAAGTTGTTAAAGAATTGTATTTTGAAGGGGAAAAATTTAGAAATTTTGTAGAGGCAAGATTTTGTGACAAGTTTTGCACGCCAAATAAGAATTTTTATTATAGTTTAAAAATACAAGATAATTGTGCAAATTTTGTCTTAAATTCGGTCATTTCGCGGTCTCCCCGTTAGAAAACGTCCTCCACGTGGTAGGAGAAAGCAGTATTAAATTTTTTAAATTATAGAATTATAGCTAACAAAAAAAAAGATAAGTACATATTTAAACTCTGCCCGAAATTCGGTCATTTCCTGGTCTCCCGGTTCTCCACGTTAGAGAAAGCAGTACCTAAATATTCTGTAATTATATCCAGTTAACAAAAACAAGACAAGTATTTAAACTCTGTCCTAAACTTAAGGGTCCCAAGCCAAACCATCCGGGAGAAAGTAGTATCTACCTAAAACCTACGGATCCACCTTAACTTTCGCCAAACTAACTACTTAATAAAACAAGGTGAATGAATGAAGACTTTCTTCTTAATTTCCTCCAATGACAAGAACTACGAGAAGCCACCCACCCACATTAAATCGAGCCCAACTTTCCCTCCCTCCCAGTGGCCGCGGAAGCCGTGGGGACATCGGGGGACGCTAACATTGTAGGATGAGGGGAGGGAGGGGTTTGTATAACAGGGGGATATGATGCGGACATCGAACAACCGTGGGGACATTGTTCCTCTGTCCTATACCTGTTTACCTTCATTCATCTGCCTGATTATAATAGTGAATGATGGTGAATCAAAATGAATTTCCTGTCATTTGAATGAAAATGACTGAAGGATTCCTTCATTTCAGATGAATGACTGTGAATGAAAGGATTTCTCACTCATTTCATTTTTGACCTATGCTTAATACATGGGGCGAAATAAGAAATGAAGTCGGATGAAGTGAAATGAAATGAATTAGAAAGAAAATCACTGAACGTGAATGAAAATCTTCCGTCAAAAATCGAGATGATTGACTTTTGAATGAAAACTAAATTTTTGAAAATGTCCCCACCCACGCTTCCGCGACCCCTGCGTCATGCATGCATGTCTAGTTTGTGTAACAATTCCTAAATACTTTAAAGGTTTTACTTTGTATTTGTCGTCTACATGCAGGCCAAGCCAAGCGCTTTACTTACATGCTACACTATTCCGCATTAATGTTGCTTAGTTGGTGGGGCATCCTCCTCAAACTTTGGCTGGCTGAAGGAGAGAGATCTGCTTCTGTACGAAGAGAAAGTCTCTTGAGAGGGGAGAAAGGAGAGGATGAAATTGCAGCATATTTTACTCTTCTTCTCAAACTCATTTATTATTTATCTCCACCAAAGCTGCAAGGAAGACGATTCGTAGTATGAGAGCAGGTTTGGAGGGAAGAGAGATGGATAAAAAAGGCACAAAGTCACTCACACAAGCTGAGGTATGTATCTTCTGGTGGTGGTTGACTTTCCCGTGTTAAAATGAGACAGAGAAGGAGACGGGGAACGGTGAAAGTCAGGTGAGGCAAGGTGAGATTGAATGGAAGACTCTTAGCGTATGCTCTCCGATTTTGACAAAAAACCAGTCAATCGCGGACAAATTTAATTAGGATGAAATCTGTAAAAGACGCGATGTCGTAAATATGGTGTAAAAAAACGATTAGGAAATTTTTGCACACCTACATACATTAATAGAATTTGGCCTAGTTGGACACCAAATTGGAAAATTTTTGATGTACAACTTCCTGCAAATATAATTAGCTAGGTTCTACCCCAAGAAGATGTTGCACAAAAATTAAAAGATTAGTGGTTTTTGGACACCATAATTTTCAAAATAATTTGATTTTCTTCTCCTCTGCTCGAAACGAGTCCTTTCTCAAATTTTTCATCCTCCACTTAAATTCCAGTGGATGTTCTCCGATTTTGAGCAACTAGTGTCAATCGGTCACAAATTTGATTAGGATGAAATTTTGAAAAGACGTGATCTCCCAATGGGCACGTTTGGCAGATAAGTTTGCATCAAGGGGAGAAAATGCGCAGTAAACTCGATAAATTTTACACTTTTCAAATTTGCTGTGCGTTTTCTCCTCTTGGGATGCAAACATCTCGGCCAAACGTGCCCATTGGGAGACCGTGTCTTTCGCAAATTTTGAAAAAAAATATTATTTTGAAATTATTTCGAAAAAATTTTACTTAAAATTTATTTGTTTTAATTTTCTACAATCTTCTTTGGGAGACTACGTATCTTTTCATATTTTTAAAAAGTTAGCCATTCAATTGTATCAACTTTGGCGTTCAAACAAGACAAAAAAAATGTGTATGTGCGAAATTTTCAAATTGTTTTTCTCCAAGGGAAATATTTTTGTTGAAAAGTTTTGAAATTATTTTTCAACGTAAATTACCTTTCAACTCAATCAAGACGGATCTAACCGTATCTTTTCGCACACTCACTGCAAAACATTAAATTCGGTGTTCAAGCAAGGGAAAGTTGGTATTTAAGTACTTATATACAAATACAAAATTTCCCTTTGTTTTTGTCCGAGGGAAGTAATTGTTCTAAAATTTTGGAAATGTATATAAGTTTTAAATTACTTTTCAAAAGGTCAGAACGTAAGCACATACATTTTTTACCTTTAATGAAAAATTATCAAATTCTGTGTTTAACTTATCCTTAAAAAATTGTGCAAAATTTGATTTAAACTAAAAATACACTTTTATCAATTACTTCATCAAAATTTATCTTTTTTAGCGTTCAACCCATGAAAAAGTTGTTACAAAATTTGATTAACTAGAAAATTTCCAATTTTTCCGCCTTTCGAAATAGAATTAAGTAATAAAACTAAATTACTATATATGTTTTAAATATTTTATGTTTTAAACTATCTCGTAAATTACAATTTGTTGAAATAATTTTAAAATTTACAGTGTTATTTGCAACAAGAATTAACTTCACCTGTTTTCGAGTTCAAATTTTTTTACAAAAATTAGTTTTAATCTAAAAATTTCACAATTTAAATTGATTTGAAATAGAATTAAAAAAACTTCAATTCTGTAGATTATGAGCATTTTTATATTTTTAACTATCTCTTAAATAAAGATTTGTCAAAATAGTTAAAAAATTTTTGGTGATATTTCAAATTAAATTCACCTTGCAGTATTTTTCCCTATTTCTATATCAAAATTTATCTGATTTGATGCTCAACCCGGGCAAAAATATTCTAAAAAATTTTAAAAAGTTTCCAATTTTTTTCTTATCAAAATATAATTAATTTTTTTACAACGATATTTCTTTCGCTCTAAAACATTTTTATATTTTAAAATATATTCTAAATCTAAATTTATCGAAATATTTTCAAAATTTGTTAAGTCTTAATTATGCTGAACCAACTGTAAATGTATCTTTTAAATACTTTACAGTATATTCTACATCAAAATTTATTTTGTCTGGCGTTCAACCTAGGTAAAAACTTTTGCAAAAATTTTAGAAAAATTCCTAAAAATTTATTTTTCCACTTTCACTCGGAAGCATTCCCTTTTCCAGATTTCCCACCTCTAAGATTACAATTTACCCATATATGCATTACCTGCAGCAAAAATTCTTAAAATTTTCTGGAACATTTCCTAATTTGTGGCAAAAATGTTTACATTTTCTAGAAAATTTCCCAATAATTAATTTTTTTCCAATTTTCGCCTGGAAATATTCCCTACGACGATGTATGTAGAGCATTGTCTTTGTCTGGAGGAAGGAAAAGGACGAGGTGGCGTCAAGTTTTAGGATATTTATTTGCTCGTCTTTGCCGACATTTATTTCCATTTCCTTCTCTCTCTCCTCATCTACTCACTCAGTCACTCGGACCAATTGGCACTCGAATATGGCATCCACTCGTAGAGGTGAGACGGGTCAAAGATTAAGAAAAACCGACCCGACCGAACTCGATCGAGTTACGGGCGCGTCGGGATTAACCGGATTCAACACCCGACTAACCTCTTGTGCAAAGATGCGTTGGGTAAAAGATTTTTAAAACCCGACACAACTAATTTCTGAACCATACTCGACCAATTTATGAACCCGAGCTGCCCGAACCCATTCGAGTTACATGCGGGTCGGATTTACCCGTGATGTACCTGTTTTTTTCGAAAACACTGGAAGCTTGTCATAAAACTGGGAAATTAAGGAGGGAAAGTCGAAACTAACCGGGTTAATAACCCGGTTTACTTCTTATAGGTGAGTCGGGTCGAAAAATTTGAAAATCCAATCCGGCTAATTTCTTAACCGTACCCGACTAATTTTTTAACCCTACCCGACTAATTTTTTAACCCTACCCGACTAATTTCTTAACCCTACCCGACTAATTTCTTAACCCTACCCGACTAATTTCTTAACCCTACCCGACTAATTTCTTAACCCTACCCGACTAATTTTTTAACCCTTTCGGCCAGCTCGCAACTTTTTTCTCATTCTTGGTTCAATTGGCTTTTCAAAATTCAATGAGTTTCCTTCTCATCTTCCTCACTTAATTCACTCATTACCGCAATTTTCAAATCAATGTTTACAAATACTTCAGCGGTTCTCCTCTCTAAATTTACGATTCGATGCTTTAAGACGGGGTGAAGAGGATAAATATCCCTCCCGTCTTTAAAAAAAACGCATCAGCCAAGTGTGAGAATTAAGCATCAGCCATTCACAGGGCTTTGTGGGGAAAGTGGTTACCCGGTAGTGATCAGAACGA